GATAAGCAAAAACTGAGAGCACTGGGCACTCTGTGGGGGAATACGAAAAGCTATTCTTCATAGAGAAGGGCCGCCATCAGTTGAAAGACCAGTCACATGGAAAAGAATTGAGAACGATAAATGGATAAGTATGTGGATAGATCTAAATAAACCTTCATTTATAAAGGAACAATAATGACTTAATGGTAACCATGTATATAAATGGTGACTTAAGAGGTGTGGCATGTTTTTAACTTTATGATGGCACATAAGCACTGTGCATTCGGTAGAAACCATCTTGGGAGGGTGTGTGCTGATCTCTTCCTGGACTATACCCTATGTCATAGGACACTCCTGGAGAGCTGGACGTCAGGGATCCAGGCCAAGAGGAGAAGCGATGGACACTCCACAGTGTACTGTGTCCCTAAGCTAGGGAGTTCTGTAGGTTAGGGTAAAATCGATTTTCAAATTATGGTATTCTCGACTTACATGGTTTAATAGGACATAACCCATTCAGAAGTTGAGAAGCAGCTGTTGAACGTATGTAGTAAGAAAGACTAAAAACCAGGAGTGGGAAAACAGAATTAAGTTCCAGGTCTTCAATTAATATATTAGATGAAGATGAAGAAATATATTCAATTAATATATTTAATGTCAAGGATGTATGTTGTAGCCGCTAAAAAAAAATGGAAAAATAAAAAACAGAATCCCAAAATAGTGAGAACAAAGGAAAAAGGAGCCAGGCACAGAGGTGCACACATGTAATCCTAGTGGCTCAGGAGGCCGAGGCAGGAGGATCTCGAATTCRGAGCCAGCCTCAGCAATTTAGCAAGGCCCGAAACAATGTAGTGAGATCCTGTCTCAAAATAAAAAATAAAATGGCTGGAGATGCGGCTCAGTGGTTGAGTGCCCCCAAGTTCAATTCCCTGTACCTCTACCCCCCAAAAAAGAAAAAGGAGCATAAGACAGATGGGAATGCTGGAGAGCCTCTGGTAAGTTGATTTAAAGCTAAATGTGTCAGTAAATAGATTCAATATAAATTGATCAAGTATTCATAAAAACATCAGACTGTGGGTTTTAAAAAYCCAACACCATAGGGGCTGGGATTGCAGCTCAGTGGTGGAGCACTTGCCTCACATGCACGAGACACTAGGTTCAATCCTCAGCACCACATAAATAAATAAATAAATAAATATTTTTTTTACAAAATCCAACACTATATACATTTTTTATAAGATACACAGCTGAAACTCCACAAGGATTTAGGAAAGTTGAAAGTCAAAAGTGCTACTTGAGGTAACCTGGGGTATTACACRGTGATGTTTTATGGAAGGTTCAATTCACCAGGAAGGTGTCACCATTCTGTATTTGTGTGCACTTCAGTGACAGCCCCCCCCCTTTCTTTCCCCTTGGTACTGCTCACTACACAGGGAGTCCATTTTATTTATTTTGAGAAACTGTCTCACTAAGTTACTTAGGGCCTCACCATGTAACTGAAGCTGGCCTTGAACTTGTGGTCCCCCTGCCTYAGCCYCCTGAGTCAGTGGGATTACAGAGGTGCACCACAGCTCCCAGTGTGGCTCTTAAGTAGCAAAACAAGAAATCAATGGAGTATGTTTGCAGAAGGCAACRCAGTTAAGCTAGGCTGGGGTGCAGGCCGTGGTCCCCAGCACCACACACAGGCAGAGAGAACTAGAGGAGCCCCTCATGTGTGTAAAGTAAGACACACTTCTGAGAAGGGGGGCAGGAATGAGATCTGCAGCCCAGGAGGAAGACAGCCTCAACCTCAGGAGACTTCCTTCTTTTGGGTAATCCCTCCTCGATCTGGGCCACCTCCCATTGCCGTTATGGAAAGCAAGTTGAATGAATTGCCCTAGATCTGTCCAAACACAGTTCCAAATGGTGGGCTCCAGGCCTCCTGGTTGCTTTTATCAACACAGTGGCAGGATCTGAAGGTGGGGCTCCGGAGTTCTCTATTTTTCTTACACAGGCATCCCTCATTCTCTCCAAATTCGACACCCATCCCTGGGTGGCAGTGACTGAGGTCAAACTCCACACCCTCAGAGTCCCACAGTCCAGGTCCGATGCTTCAGCTCGWGGCATCCAGAGCCTGACGGTATTTTGTGAAAACACATCTGATAAAGCCACAAGGGGAGAACCATCCATCCCACCTGGGATCAGAAGGAAGAGGCAGCGTTGTGTTTGGGGCCTCSATCCTCCTCTGAATGGATTTTGAATTAAATGAAGACGAATGCCCCAAGTTCAAGGCCAGAGATGGACAGGTGGTAGAGGGGCCCATGGGAATCACCAGGGAAGTGTCTTTGGCGTGGAAGATCCTTCATAGACTTTGGCCATTGCAGGAAACACTCTGTCCTTGCTTTCATCAGGAACCACAGATGACACTGGGGACAGTGAAGGCCCTGGAACCCCACCCTCTCAGCTACCCCACTCCAACTTGCACCACGGAGCCTGGTCACAGATATTATTAGCCTGGACTTTTTTTTTTTTTTTTTAAGTATGTGTAACCCAATGCCAATCTCAAGCATTAAAAAAAAAAAAATCTTGAGAATGTTCCCGTAGAATGTCTAGCTTTGAGCAACACAACTTCCTGGTCCACCCTCCAAAGTAAACCAATGCAAAATGCATGAGAGGCTCACTTGCAGAGTAACTGCTCCGGGAGTTCTCAGCTGTGGACCKGTTGAAAACACTGATACTGGAGATGTTTGTGAAAGAGTCGCCTTGAGGCTCTCTTGGGGAATTAGTGAGTTACCAGAGAGGTCAAGTTCAAGTACTTTCATCTGTTGATAAAGACAATGTTTGTCTTTTAAYTGTTCTGCAAACAGCTAATCTCAAAGTCTCAAATCAAATAGCAATAACAGAAAAGAAAGGAGGAGATGCACATTATCCTTCCCCTTCATCTCCTCTGTGGGCAGAGAAGTATCGTGGCTAGGATCTGGTAGGATGCTGTCAGCTCAGGTCACAGCTACTATTCACACCACCTCTACAACAGCCCACAGCAGGGTCATTTAAAATCCCTGGCTCTCATCTTTTTGGAGGGACACGCTCTGCTCACATCAAACACATCCTGGGATTTTTTTATGGGGAGGTAACGAGAGCTGTCGCTGTGGTTTTTCATCTTGAGTCCATGAATCACCTRTGCAACCCTGTGACCCTCTTCATGCTGCCTACCAGAAGCTCAGAAAACACATGTGGCCTTCCATGCTCTGAACTTGCTCATGGACCTATTTTCTACTTTCTAGCCTAAATTTCTCCTTGCCTCGTTTCTTCTCATTGATCTTAATTTTATCTAGCTAGATTAATTGCAGGTACGCTTCCTTAAGTCCTTGGAGGATCAAGTTAGGATATGAATAACTTGATGTATAAATAACATTATTATTCCCTAAACTGCCTTCCTCCCATTTCTCTGGTATTTTCAATGATGATCCTTCTATTAAAATGGTGGTTCAGGTTCCTAAGTAATTAGAATCTGCTCAACCTGAGCTAAGTGCTTGACATGAAATGCTTCATTAAGTCATTYAACAAACCCCAAGATAGGTGCTATTGTCCTGTTCCTTTTCAGATAAGGAAACTGAGACTTGGATGCATTAAGTAACTTGCCCAGGGCCACCAGGTCAATAAGACACAGGGCTAGAATTAGATCCCAGGCAGAACCCTACAAACATTGGACTCTTTCTGGCTGCATCTGCACACATAGTCCAAATGTCACTTCATTGAGATCCCTTCCCTGCACCTCTCAGGTGCTCCTCCCTCTTTTATAGTCCCATAACTGGGAGATTCCCATGTTTGAGTCTTGCCATATTGCATCAAAATTCTTTCTTCCCTGCTTGGTCTCGCTGCTGGACAGAGCCCTCCTCCAGGGGAGGGACCATGTCCCCGTCAGCTGTGAGTCTCAAGTAACTAGGCTTTCACACACAGGGTGAGTGTTCAATGCACAGTAGTGATCCCCACCCATCTGTGGTTTCCAGGTACCCACAATCAATTTCAGTCTAAAATATTGAATGGAAAATTCCAGAAATAACAATTCATAAGTTTTACATGACTCTCAGTACAGCATTTTGTTATAATTGCTGTTTTTTCTAATTATTACTGTAATTTATAAATTGAACTTTACCTTATACAGAACAGAGGGAGTTCAGTGCCACCTGGGGTTTTAGGTGTCCACAGGGGGTCTTGAGACATATCCTCCATGCGTAAGGGGAGACCACTGTACATGCTTTGGGCTGAAGGCAGAATTCCCTCCAAGTCACTACTCAGTGCAAAATCTTCACCTCGCTGCAGCCCCCAGCCCTGCATATAGAAGCTCAGCCTCCTGTTCTCCATCCGCCCAGCGCCCTCTCCTCAGCTCACCTAYACCTACCTGTGGCATGGTCCCGCTGAGCCCCTGAGCACTATCCTACCTGTGAGCCTTTGCTCACCTGTCACTCCCACCCACAATGCCCTCCTCCCCTCGCCACCTCTCAAAATTCTATCCATTCTTCAAGGCCCAATTCGGATGTCATTTTCTTCAAGAAATATCCCATCCGCAGATGCAACCTCTTTATGCTGAGACTCAAAGTACTTTGTTCTTCCCAACTCATTCCTGAAATGCTGCCCTGTATTTCAGTGATGTGTGTCTGTCATTTAAGCATTTGGAGGGCAAGTATCCGTAGACTTGAGCAAAGCACAGAGCACATAGTAGGTGCTCAGTAAATACGAGACTGGGAAGGGAGTCCACGCTACTCCTGCAAGCGGAAGAGGCAGCAAACTCCCCTCCAAGAAATACACTCATCTCCCCTCCAGTCCTCCGTTTTTTCTCAGTGGGGACAAATTTCATGTCAAGGAAGAAGGACCTGCACTGCCCCTCCTCTGCTCCCCCAGCCAACATAGTTTGGTTTCCCTTCTAGAGAGGTGAGAGCAGGTGTGACAGGCCAGGTTTCCTTGGCTCCACCCCGCCCGTCCCTTTTCCCCCAAACACAGAGCAGAAGCTTGCCAGCTCCTGCAGCACCCGGCACTCTGCAGACATGGCCCACGGAGATGCCTCCCTCCGCAACGCGCAGCACCTCACCTCTGCCCCGCGGGCCGCCCTGCTCCTCTGCCTGGGCTTTGCCTCCTTCCACTCGGCTTGCTGGGCAGGTAGAACTGTGAGCTTTATTCTTGGCCTCACGGAGGAAGGGGGAGGGCAGGAGGGAGGGAGGGAGGGAGGGAGGGTGCAGCAGGAGGGAGGGGGAGGGCAGAGGGGAGGGGGAGGGCGAGAATTCCTTGGCCAGGGTTGGTCCTGCAGGAAGCAAAGAGGAAAAAGGACTTTTTCACGGAGAAGGAGTAGGCAGGGGGTTAAGGGTGGGTGTGGGGTGGGGTGTCTTGGGTTTGCCTAGACCAAGATCAAATACTTAACTCCTGGGCTGGGACAGGAGCAGCCACCTCTGTGGGCACCCTCTGCCTCTCTCTCACACACACACACAGAATTTGTCAGAATCTTACCTATCAGGGGACCAAATTGGTCTTCAGTGATAAATTTGGTTGCTGGTTTCCTGGTGGCTCCTCTTGCTCAGCTCCCCCCAGCCCCCCACCCCCACTGTGTGATTGACAGTCTTCCCTCACATTSGGGTCTCACGTTCCTTACTGAAGCCCTGTCCTTCCTGGCCACTGCACTTCCTCTGCCACTTTCCCAAAGCCTGGAAGCTGCCAGTCACTGCCCACCCCTCTCCTGCCTCCCCAGGGTACCTGTGGCTAAGCCCCACCTCTCACTCTCCCAGGGGACCTGCACCTGGGGGCAGGGGCCTCACTTAACTTCTGCTGTCTTCAGCTTTGATCTTGTCTGAGTTCCCTGTCTGCCCTGCACCCAGAGACTCTCCCAGTCTCAAAGCCCAAGCCCCATCAAGTCTGCACCTCTCTCTCCCATCTTAGCATCTCTTGTGGCCACGGCCAGAGGGCTCAGTGTGGGTGCCCAGACCCACCGAGTCTCCCTTCCATCCTAGTTTCCCCAACTTACTAGCTGTGTGACCTTGAGCAAATTGCTTCTCTTCTCAGAGCCTGTTTCCTGTTTAGAACATGACAGTGAAACTGCTGAGTTACAGGGTTGTTTGTGAGAAGCAAATGAGATGGCTGCTTTTAAAGAATGTACAATAAACTGGGCGTGGTGGTAACGTGCCTGTAATCCCAGCTGCTCAGGAAGCTGAGRCAGGAAGATCTTAAATTCAGAGCCAGACTCAGCCACTTACAGAGGCGCTGAGCAACTTAGTGAGACCCTGTCTCAAAATTTTAAAGAAGGGGGAGATGTAGCTTAGTGGTTGAGAGCTCCTGGGTTCAATCCCTGGTACAAAACAACAACAACAACAAAAAAGGTAATTGCACACACAATGATTGTTAGCAAGTATGGTTAACAAGTTTGTCTTATTTCCCAACTTCCACCCTYCTCAAACATGGCTATTTAATTTTTATCTGCTTTACCCTCACAGTTCCTTGCTCACGTTGCAGGTTTAAAAAAAAAAAAAAAAAGTTGATGACCATGAGGCAGAGGCAGGAGGATCACAGGTTTGAGGTCAGCCTCAGCAACTTAGTGAGGCCCTAAACAACTTAAAGAGACTCTGTCTCCTAATAAAACATAAAAAGGGCTGGGGATCTGGCTCAGGGGTTAAGTGCCCCTGGGTTCAATCCCTGGTACCAAAACAAACAAACAAACAAAATCTCCCTCAAACAAATATAGCTCAGTGGTAGAGCACCCCTGGAGCTGATTCCTGGTACTAAAATAATAATAATAATAATAATAATAATAATAATAATAATAACAAATGTAACTCCACTGAGCTGTTCTTCTTCCCAAATGGGGCAAGCCCCTGGCTATTCTGCTCATAAGGGAGGAGGGTGATATTCAGGTACTTAGGAATTTTTAGCTGAGCTACTCTGTTTGAACCATATAAAACTGCTGTTGTGAAATGATTTTTTTTATATAAAAGTGTTAATTCATGGGCTGGGGTTGTGGTTCAGTGACGGAGCGCCTGCCTCATACATGTGAGGCCCTGGGTTTGACCCTCAGCACCACATAAAAATAAATAAACAAAATAAAGATATTGTGTCCATCTATAACAAAAAAACATTTTTATGTGGTAATTCATAACCTAATACTGGCAGTTAACTACGTTTTCCCCCACTCACTTACTCTAGGCAGAAATATCACTACTCTAGGTTTAGAGGGGAGATGAAAGTCAGGGCCAAGGGAGTTAAAATTCAAATGTTGAGGAATAAATGTCTCCAAAACAAAGACCAAGCCCTGAGCCATTTAGTTGTAAATAATTTACAGTAACAGTCAGATTTCATCAAGGTAATTTACCATCCCTTAAGCAGGACCCAGGAGTTGCTTAGGGATTGGGTGGCATAAAGTCAGTCTGGGCAGCAATTTCATGGCTTTGGCTAAACAGCCTTCTTCCTAACTCTATGACAACAGGCACCTGAAGGACATGCTGACCCACAGTCAGTGGAGTGTTGAGAGTTTTCAAACATTTTTGTTTTGGTTTGAAGTGATTTTTTTACATTCCCAACAATGCAGATTGAATAGCGATATAATTTCCAGAAAGTGCTCCAAAATCMATGTCTGGGTTTGATCTACCTAAATTAGCATTAGTGATAATAGATCTTTCTTTGATGGTGGGAATGTTCCATTTCTGCCTTGTGCTTCCAATATGGCGGCCACCAGCCACATGTGGTGATTGAACATCTGAAACATGGCTAATATGACGGGGAAGCTGGCTTTTTTAACTTCAGCTAATTTTAATAAGTTTAAATAACCACAAGTGGCCAGGGGCCACTGTATCAGACAATGTGGGCCCCCTGTCTTTCATTCTCAGTTGTGAAGGAACATGGCAGTGGCTTGTCTTCTCCACATGCTTACATTCTTCTCCATCCCCCAAACCCAGTGGGTATTCTCTTCTGTCCAGATGGGAAAGGGTTAAACTTCCAGCTTCCTTGAGACAAAAGCAAAAGCGGCTCTTTTAGAATTCCTGCTTAAGTTCTTTTTTCTTTTTCTTTCTCCTTTTTTTAAAAATTATTATTCTTTGCTTATAAGTTGAACAACAAATTTAAGCACTGCATACCCGGCAATGAGTTTGTAGGAGACACAATTCAGTTGACAACAGGGARTTAGCTTTGTCGCATACAGATACCTACACTGGGAATTCTGTAACACTTTCACAATACTCACTACTGATGAACACAAAATCCCAAACCCTGGACTGACTGACACGACTGTTTAATTTTTGCTCCTCACCACGTGCCTGTGTAACAACTTCACCATCATCGGGAATAAAGAATCAAGGTCAGATTTCAAAGTTGACTTGTCAAGGTTTTGAAAGGAATTGAAGTCGTTGTGAGAAGACATTCTAGATCGTTCCGTGATTGTTTCAATATAGACTGGAAAGGCCCTTTTATAGCTACATCTATTTGCACAGCTAAAAATAGAGTGTGACAAGCTATTTATATAGCAGGCCTTTGGTCACTGAAGGGCAATGAAAAATGAAGATAAAGTGATAGGAAAAGGGGAGTGGATTCCTCCCTGGCTGGCTGGCTGCCAAAATGAAAAGTCCAGACTGGGGGGCTTGAACAACAGGAATTCATTTTCTCATTGTTCTGGAGGCTAGATGGCCAAGATCAAGGTATCGGCAAATCTGGTCTCTCCTGAGGCCTCCCTCTTGTGGTTGCAGATGACCTCCTTCTCCCTKTGACCTCACATAGCCTTCCTCCGTGCACATGCATAGCTGGAGTCCCTTCCTCTTCTCATGAGGACACTAGTCACGCCGGCACAGGACCCACCCATATGACCCCTTTAACCTTAATTACTTCCTTAAAGSCCCTGTCTCCGAGTACAGTCACGTTGGGCATGAGGACATGAACGTATGAATTTGGGAGGGACACAGTTCAGTCTACAGCAGGGAGTTAGCTTCATAAAGCTTCAGTATACCTGCACGGGAAATTCTGTCACACTTTCACTGTGACACGATTCCAAAACCTGCGCCTGGGCAGTGTTTCCTCCTGCCTGAGACGATGTCCTGTCTTTTCTTTCAGAAGTCAGCAGCAGCAGCAACAACTCAACCTTGACCACCCACCACCCAGATCCAGGGACCCTGGAACAGTGCCCCAGTAAGCTTCTGCCCTCATCCCAGAGCTGGCCCTGAGCTGCGGGGGAAACTTGAGCCCTCCTGCTTTCCATTGGCTGGTGTTAGGTGACCAAGGCCTCCCAGGCTTCCTGGGCACAGGGTGGCTCTGCCTAGTACCATCTGCAGAACAGGTCTAAAAGCCGTCCTGGCTTTGATCCCAATGCAGGCTTATGGTCTTTGGTGCAGGTGGCTGCAATGACCCAGTCCCTGGTGGGCAGCCAAAGATGCCCTGGGTTCAAATGCTTGAAAGAAGTTTGGAGGGGGAAGTCTATAAAAATCAGCTAAGCTGAACAAGACAGGCACTTGGTTCGGTCCCCTTTACCTATTTCTGTTCATTCTCTACTTGAGTATTTCCAGTGGCAGGAGCTCGGTAACAAAGAAACACCATTAACACATCTAATTAGTAGGAAGTTTTCCTTTAAGCCTGGCCCCTCTACGCTGCCATCATTCAGTGACCAAATGGGTCCACTCCTGGTCATTCATAAAGAAGGTAACAGGCAATCATATGAAGTGACAAGAATATGACTTTGGAGTCTATATTGGGTTCGAGTTCTCTTTCTGCCATCTTCAGACCTTGGGCAAGTTACAATATCAATTGACTCACACCAAATGGAAATAGTCATTGTACCTATCACAAGGCTGGGGGTCGAGAATGGTGGTAGAGGGCATGCCTGCTGGAGGAGTCCCTGCAGCACCAAAATAACGATATTAATAATAATAGTGCCTGTCGTCCTGTGAGAAACATGAAAGGGAAATCGTAAAGATTTGGCATGGTGCATGGCAGCTCTCACGTTGCTCATGTTCTTACTGAGATTAGAGAAAGAGCTGGTGGAGCTGGGTGGATACAGCTTGCCATTCTCATCTCCCGTCCCCCAGATGTGGACTTCTGCCCCCAGGCGGCCCGGTGCTGCCATGCTGGAGTGGACGAGTACGGCTGGATCGCGGCTGCGGTGGGCTGGAGCCTCTGGTTTCTCACCCTCATCCTGCTCTGCGTGGACAAACTGATGAAGCTGACTCCAGAGGAGCCCAAGGACTCGCACGCATGAGATGAGAGTCCCGGCCCTGAGAACGGCCTTCGCCATCACTGTGTGGGTCGCAGAGGGCGGGAGGAGGGCGGCCACCGTTATTCTAAAGCCTTTCACCTTGAAGCCTCAGCTGCTTTTATTCATTCATTCATCCATTAATTTGATGCTGGGGATCAAATCCAGGGCTTTACACACTGCCACTGAGCTACGTCCCCAACCCCCCTTTACTACTTTGAGAAGGGAAGGAAAAAGAGAGAGGGGTCCAAATAAGCCAAGGCCGGCCAGCCCTCAAGTCCCACTCCAAAGGGTCTTCGGCACCCCATGAACTCCGCTGTCGGGGAGTCCCTGTGGGCTTGCTCCTCTCTTAGCCAGGGCTTTCTTCTGGACACCCAAGGGAGTGCCCAAGAAACTGAAGACGTGGACTTCTAGAGAGCACACTTGAAAAMCAGGCGGTTGGCTCCTCTCTCTCCCTTCAGTCAAGGGCAGATGATGGGAGAGGCACCCTGCCCCACACGCCCCTCCTCCGTCACCCCCACCGCGGGCCCTCTCCAGCTCTCAGTCTTCCTTCCTATGTCCCCAGAGGCTGTCTGGTCCCCCCTATTCTCCCCACCAGCTCCCTTGTTCTGCCTTCACGACATCTCCTGGGACATTCAGGAATGTCTCCTTCTGGTCCCCTGCCTGTGACCTGCCCGTCTTACTCGCCATTCCCATGGGTGGCCTTGGGCTCCCTGGAGCTGGGACTCTCGGACACTTTGCAATGCCTTAGGGGCAGCCACTGCGAATGGGCTTCTTGGTGATCCCTTTATACTTCCTTGCAATCCTAGGGTAGAGTTAGGTCTTCATGTTTGTCCAGTGGACGGATGGATGGATGGATGGACAGATGGACAGATGGATGGACAGACGGATGGATGGACGGACGGACAAGTCCTTGCCATGGACAGCTATGCTCACGTCTCTGCACTCAGAACCTCCACTTCTCTCCAGGTGGCTGAAATAACTTCCTTCTGAAGAAGCGGGTAGGGTTACCACTCTGTCAGCAAATGCAGCCCTGTCACTTGCCGTGAAGGGTGGACACTGCGTGTCCTGGTGAACTCTCCCAGTGGAGGGTGAACRGAGGGGAGGGAAAGGTGGTTTTGTCAGGAGGAAGAAAGGACAAATGATTCTTTATGAAACAACTCCTATTGTTTGTGAGAAAACATTCAGATGGGATAAACATTATTTCAAAACATAGGAAAAAAGAGGCCTCTGAGAGGAAGAGACTTTTTCTAGAAGAAGCAAATAACTTAAAGCTGCTCACTCCCTCTCTCAGAAAATCTAAGTAAACTTCCCTGAGAACAGAATCTGAAGGGACCGCCTGGTTCGTCCTGCACTCTGCAAAAGGCCCATAATTCCTGACCCCATGTTCCATCAGTACAATGGGATGGGCTTATTGTCCCTGAGTGTCGCACAATCGTATGGATGAATGTGTCAATGGAGTCTGTGCACAGTCCACTTTTTCAGTGTGCACACAGTCCACTTTTTCAGATATTCAAGGAAAAATTTCACAATGTGTAGTGGTTTATCTTCCAAGAGAGGAAAAGGTTCATTCAAGAGCACAGTCACATTTATCAACTGCAAACATTTAAAAGATAATACAGGGGCTTGGGCTGTAGCTCAGTGGTAGAGCGCCTGCCTTGCATGCATGGGGCACTGGGTTTGATCCTCGACACCACGTAAAAATAAATGAATAAAGATATTGTGTCCATCTACAACTAAATATAAATTTAAAAAATACAAGATAATACAGTGTGACATAGTGGTAAGAGTACTAGCTTTCAAAGAAGGGAAATTAAGATTTTTGTCTGAACTGTGTGAACACACATGTCATTGTTCCTCGCTGGGCATCAGTTTTCTAAACAGAAAATGTAAGAATTGGACCAATGCAATATTTTCAGGTGTGGTTGCAAAAGCTTAYGGAGCCATTTGAGCCACAGTTGGAGGAGGTGGGCGGGAGGCCCATTGTCCCTTCAACCTGAGCAGACTGGCTCTTCTCTACCAGACCTGAGATGTCACAGCTGCTTGAACAAACAGAGGGGCAGAGCAGCAGTGGATGTTAGATCCTCTCCAGTCTGGAACAACACGCTGATTCCTAGACTATATTGAAGTGAAGTGGGTGTAGTCCCTRCCATATCACATTAAAATGCAGGCATTTATGGGGTACAGGGTGACATTTCAGCACCTATGTACATTGTGTACTGATCAAATCAAGGTAATTAACATTTCCATATCCTTTTTTTTTATTTTTATTTTTTGGTGCTGTGGATTGAACCCAACTAAATTGCTGAGGCTGGCCTTGAACTTGCAATCCTCCTGCCCCAGGCTCCTGAGTCACTGAGATTATAGGCATGAGGTTATTTGCACAAGAGGAAGGACAGAGTGAATGTAAACGGCTCCCTTCTTGGAGACCGAGAGAAGGAAGACCATGGTGGATCTGAAAGGGTCCAGGTGTAAAGCAGCAAGCCCCATCCCATGGTAGATGGACTTTTCATTTTGAATTTTGTCTTCAATCGTCAACTTTACCCTCCACACCCACTACAAACTATGATACAGCCTACACAGCATAGGGCGGATCCGTATCAAAATGTAGAAACTTAGACATTAAGCTGGAGCACAATTACCTGACTTTTAAAGATCATCATTTTTAATCAATTTCTTTTCATATGTTCGATGCCCATGGATAAATAAGCCATACATAATTTTCTATTAAAAGTTAAATGTTAGATGCCAGGCAAGCTCAGTCACAGATGATTCATAGGACAGCTTAGACTTGTCTTGTTTGGACTGTTGTAAAAACTTTTCATAGATGGAGTGACTTAAAAATAGCAGAAACCGATTTCTCACTGTTCCAGAGACTGGAAGACTGAGCTCAGGGTGCAGGCTGGGCTGGGTCCCGGTCAGGGCCCTCTTCCTGGTTTAGGCTCAGCCATCTTCTCATATGGTGGGAGGGACACAGAAACTCTCTGAGGACTCTTTCACAAGGACATTGATCCCACCGATGAGACTGACCCCATGACCTAGCCACCCCCAAAGGCCCCTCTCGAAATACCATCACATTGGGTGTTAAGATTTAACATGAATTTGGGGAGGGCACAACATTTTGTGTACGCCAGGCCTCATTCCACACATGTATATGTGAGCATATTTTAAAATGTAAAGAAATAATCTACCTGATTTTGAAGAAGCTGTGCTCTCACCCTCTCTTTCTCCAAACCCTGAAATCCGCATACATGTCCAAACAGTGTGATTCCAGGGGTCTTTGCCAGCCGATGGTTGGAGCGCCCTGGGGACAGCCTCACTCTACCTCTAGCCCACCCCCTTACTTCTTCCAGGGTGGCTCTTCTCCCTCATAGTCAGTGATCAAGTTGCCCCCACTGAAAGTCCTTCTATGGCTCCCCAGGCTGACGGCAGGATCCAGCCTCTAAGATGACCCCAGATCCTCACGTTTCTCTAGCTTTTCCTCCTGCGTATCCTTTAGGCAAACCCAATTCTGAATTATTCCAGTTCTGTAAAGATGCCAGGCCCTCTTCCATCCCTTCCCTTGTTTTTGCTGTTCCTGTGGCTGAAATGTACCTTTTCCAGATGCAGATTTGCCATGAACCAAGAGAAGCTCAAACTCTGCATCTAACACTTGGTTCCAATGGCAGGCTTCCCTGAGCAACGCACGCAGGCTACACAAACTACTTTTTTAAAAAATGATGACAAACAGTAAACAATCATGGCCAGTCTGATAAAGAGCCACTGGTGAAGGAGGCGATACAGTCCCACAGATGCAAATGTGGAGTTGGGCGATTTCAGAGTGCATAAAAGCCCATTTCTCTCACTAAAGCAATCATGGTCCATAGTGCAATCCTCATATTTCATTTACAACATGTTCATTTCTATCAAGAAGGAAAAAGATCCAAAATTGTTGCATAAAAATAAGCAAACATTTCTGTTTTCACTGGTTAAACAAGTGGCTTCTATCCCAAATTTTGTATTGTTAGGAAGCAATATGTGAAAGACCAAGAATAAATCAGACTTTGGAGATGCTTGGATCAAAATGCTCATTTGAAAACTGATTTAAAAGCTGTGGAGCCATGAAGACACATGGAGGAAACTTAATTGTAGATTACTAAGTATTAGAAGCCAGTCTAAAAAAACTACATATCTATGATTCCAACTATGCCTCATTCTGAACAAYGCAAAACTGTAGAGACAATAAAAGGATCAGTGGTTTCCAGGGATTGGGGGAGAAAATGGTAGACAGCAGAGCACAGAGACTGTTGAGCAGTGAAACTGTTCTGAATGATATTATAATGGTGAATACATATCATTGTAAATTTTTCCAAACTCACAGGCTGTACAGTAAACTCTAGTGTAAACTCTGGGCTTGGGGTAATGATTATGTATAAACACTGGTTTATCAAGTGTAACAAATGTACCACTCAGGTACTGTCATGGGTGGGGGCAGGGTGCATGTAGGAATCATCTGGAGTTTCCATGCAAATTTACTATGAACCTAAAACTGCTCTAAAATGTGAAATCTGCTTTTAAAACGGGATTTAAAAGCACCCAGGAGAGTCTTAACACTCTGGAGAAGGGTGGAGTTTCAGGCATCAAGTTAAATATCTTTGAATTAGAAATCCTCAACAAAAGACTACAGATAGTAGGATAACTTGTATAGCTTACTGGCGCCAAATTTTAATGCCTAAATTAGTTTATCAATTCCATTCTTGAGATCACTTATTACATCAGCGATTAGGTAACCATGAGTGGTTCTTGACTCTTTAGGAGAATCATACTCCTCTATTTGGGGAAAACATATGGCACACCACCATGTCAGGCTAGCCCTTCCTCCTGCGAAGGTTTATTTTTTGCATAGCTGGCATTTGCCCCTCGATGCCTGTGCAGAGGGTATAGATCATTGCACCTCAGTTCATGTCACTTGGTCACACTGATCTCTACGAGGCCCCTTTATTGTCCTGGATTCCCTCTTATCCCCA